AGGTAGCGACTATCAGCCAGTCATCTGTGTAGGAGAATATAGAGATGCCTTGAAGATGGAGATAGGCAGCAACTGGTAAAAGTTCTCAGTGATGTCCAAACGGGAGGGAACAAAATTGGTACGAGATGTTGTTGAACCGGAATCGAAGAAATTTGTGATGATGTGGGTGGTGGATGGAGATGTGTAAGTATGCATCCTGATGAGGACAAACCAGTCTCCCTGTGAAAGGAGAAGGATGATAGTGTTGAGTGTCAGCATTCTGAAGCATCTGGGTTGAATGAATATATTGAGGTGTCTAAGACTGAGAATAGGATGGAGTCTTCCATCCTTTTTGGGAACTGTAATGTATCTCAAGTAGAATCCATCATACAGGGCAGAAGAAGGGACTATAAGTATGCCATGCTTTTGTAGAAGAAGGGAAACCAGTGGATATGGGGTAGTCTTAATGGGTCTAGGTGGTGAAGTATGATCAAATTCAATAAAATGGCCATTTTGGATAATAGAAAGGACCCACTGGTCATTAGTGATTCGATGTCAAGAGTTGAGGAAGGGATGTAATCTGGTCTGGAATGGAGATAGAAGGGGTCTATGGATATTGCTTACCCTTCTTTTGTTGATGTCGAAAGGGCTGATGACGGGCTGTTGTTGCTGGGGTTGGAAAGCAGGTGTCGATGGGCTGGAATAGGATCTGTCATAGGTTTGTGGTTTGTATGGTCAGTATGGTTTTTGGTATTGCTGAAAGGGCTGTTGGAAGAAAGTCTGCCTGCAAAACTGAGGGTGCTGGTAGCAATAAGGTTGTTGGATAGAATATGAGTGTGCTGTTTTATGGATTTTATTAAGGTTATCCATTACTTCATCTGTCTTGGCATTAAAGAGGCCAGCACCATCAAATGGGAGGTCTTCAATTTGTGATTTGGTATCATCTGAGATGCCGGCAGATCTCAGCCAGGCATGTCATCTTAGGGCGACAGAAGTCGACATAGCCTTAGAAGCGGTGTCTGCGGTATGGCAAGATGCAATCCTTTGTTGTTTAGCCAGGGTTGTAGCCTCGGCGTGGATGTTTAGGGCTTCTGTCTTGGAAGCATCAGGAGCCACTTGGAGTATGGGTAGAATTTTGTTCCACAGTTAGCAATGGTACATGCCCATTGTGGCTTGATAGTTTGCTACCCTCATAAGGAAGGATGTGAGAGAATATAGGCATCTGCCTAAGATATCAAGTTTTCTCCCTTCACAGTTAAGTAGGGGCTACAAAGGATTTATTATGTGCTCTGGACTGATTGAATTTGACAATGATCGAGTTTGGTCTAGGATGTTTAGAGAGAAATGCTTTATTGGGACGGTGGGTCTTGTAATGATCCTCTACACGCCTCAAGATTTGTAATGAGGGAGGGGGTTTGTCCCATGATTCTTTCACTAATTCATGCATAGCAGGGATGAATGTCAAAATGAGAGATAGCGTCATGTCCTGGTTAAGGTCATCAAAGACCAGCTCTTGTTTTTGAGGTGGTGGTTCTTTTATGTCTAATTGTAAGGATTTTGCCATTCGTATCACTAGTTCAGAATAGGAGGTAAAAATCTTCTGATGGGGAAGGTGGGTGATTCTCAGCCACATCAGAAGAAGGTGTAGGTAGATTAGAGAGAGATTATTGAGAAACATCAGAGTTGGAATCTGGAATGGAACAAGAAGAGTCTGAAGATGGTGATGGATGTGGAGGTATAGTCGTTGATACTGAGGTAGGCGATAACTTGGAGCAATACACTGTTCAGTGTCGGTAGGAGGAGGGGGAGGGGGAGGACCCTTATAAGCGGTAGTAACTCATAGAGAGGTTTGATGTTGAGATTGTTTGGAGAATTGTCTCACCTGTTTGGATTGAGAGTGTTCTTGAACAAGTGGGAGAAGAGTGTGCTTGACAGCTGATTTGGTCGGGATCAACATGCAGTGCTTCTATGTCTGGTACGTAGTAGAAGGACGATGTCGGTGTCTCAGTGATGAAGGCGAAGTGGATGGTGAATGTTGAGATGGATAAACATATCTCACCCTTTTAGGCTCATCATAATATGCATGCTCAATCAAGTCGTCAGGGTACTAGGGGTCATAACGATAGTATGGATCCCCCTGTTGATATCTAGGTTGGTACCGAGATGGTTCAGGATAGTAATAATATTTCCTGTGCGGTGGGTCAAATTGGACCGGTGACAGGTGTCGTCTCTTTGCTCAATGTTTTCTAGGAGACTGGTGAGACGATTCAGATCTAGAGACTGGAATAGTTATCGCCCTCCCTAAAGATGTAGGACTTGAATGTTCCAAGGCCGGGCTGGAATGAACAACAGCCAGAGATGGGCCAGTACTCGGTGAAAGGCTAGCAACAGAAGCAACAGCCGGAGCCGACATCAAAGTCTGATCGTCTTTATCAGAGCCAGAGGCGACTCTAGACGACTCCTCAAGGATCGGTGATGGTAATACCGATTGAGGTGGATCAATATGGGTTGATTTCTTTCTCTCTCTTTTTGGTCCTTTTAGGCTTATCTTTTTCTTAGAAGAATCATCAGGATGGGTTGGAGCCTTTGACGTGGATGTCAAGCTCGATTTCAAAGTCGACTTCAAATGGTCCTTTTACCAAGGTGAAGGATTTGTTGGGCTCAATATCAGGTGAGGAATTTCACAACGTTCACGAGTTGGAGACATTGTCGGATTCATGGGAGACAAATTTAAAGATTTTTCCCAGAGGTAAGAGTGGAGCCTTTGAAGTCGTAGTTTTAAGGCGGGTTTTGTAAGCTTTTTACACTTGGGACAGGAGTGTGTTTGATGTTGTTCCCCAAGACAAAAAAGGCAAAGGCCATGTCCATTGGTAAGCGGGATCTTATTCATGCAGAGCACGCACTGCTTGAAGGGCTCAGGAGGGGACATAAAAGGTTGTGGAAAGAGAATGGAGAAAGGTGGAGGGAAGGGGAAAAATACCATGGGGAAATTGAAAAACGAGTAAATTGAAAAGGGAAAACAGATAACTCACTGGGAAAAATATCCAAAAAAATGACTGAAAAATAAAGGATCCCAATGATCAATAATCTCAACAATAGCACAATCGCTCTAATGTTCCAAAATAGGTCCGATCTAAGCAGTGGCAAAAAGGAACTGAGGGGACTTCTGGCGGGCGCAGCATGCGCTCCACGGGGGAACGTCCTACTAATCACGTCTTTAAGCTCTAGAAACTTCCAAAAGGTCCTGCGCAGGCACAGAACAACCCAATTGTGTGCATTCACTGAGGCCATGAAGAAGAAAGATATGTTACTCTTCAAGTAAAGAGTAATATTAACTGGTTAACAACAACAATAATTGTTTAGTAACAAGTGGCCAGAATCTAACTGGCATTTTATGTTTGTACAAGTGAAATGGTATAAGTTACAACAACATATTGCTGCTAATTAAAGAGTTGCTGGTTGCATTCCTGGATGTGTCCTGATTAAGTGCCATTTTAATGAAGTGCCAAAATGGAAGCATGAATTGTCCCCCAGTGACCCAACGAACAACAAATCAATTCATCATTCGTTAGGTCTTTTTTCTTTTGCTTTCCCTCCTCTTGCTATGCCTCGGGGCATAGCAAGAGGAGGGAAAGCAGGGGATCAAAGCAGTTGCAGTGCTGCAGCTGTGGGGATCAAAATGATCCTGCAGTGCTTTGATCCCTTTTCCCCTCCTCTTGCTAAGTCCCACGTGAGGCTTAGGAAAAGGAGGGGGAAAGGGATCAAAACAATCCTACAGCCTCCCTAGGCTTAGCAAGAAGGGGGAAAGCAGGGATCAAAGTGATTCCGCAGCTGGAGCTGCAGTATTGCTTTGATTCCTTTTCCCCTCCTCTTGCTAAGCCTTGTGGGGCTTAGCAAGCAGAGGGAAAGCAGAGGGTGGGATTCCCTTCAGGCAGGTTTTAGCAAGCCGCCCAAGGGGAAAGCCTTTCTCTGCTTATGCCCCTGAGGAACAGCTGACCCACAGGGGCGTAAGCAGATAGGGAATAAAAGGACAAATATAAAAGGGTCTCTGCACTCCAAGAATATGAAGCATCTGATGAATCAGGGATATTTAATTAATATCCTGATTCATTTTTATATTTGTCCCCATGTCTAGTTCTGATGCAACTGAGTATGCAGGTCAGAATCCAACCAGCACCTTGATAATTAGCTGCAATTTCTGCTTATACCATTTATGCTATTTACTTATGTAAGCATAAATTGCTGATTGGATTCTGAGGGCTGATGATTTCCAATCTAACTATCCTATCTTTCCCTCATGGTTAGACTGGGAAGTGATAAGAGCAGGTAGGGCATCTTTTAAACTCACCTGAGAAGCAATGCTGGGTAGGAAATGTCTTAACCAAGCCTGTATCAAATCATTCTGCAGTTATATTACAGTACTGAGTTTTTGTAAGTATACTATGTTGAAAATATATTTACGTTTGTGTTATTTGTACAGTTTTGAAGAGAGCTGTTGCTGAAGAATAAAATTAGATTTACAATCACACAAATAATTCTGAGGCCTCCTTCTGATGCTACTTCTGCCTGCCATCTACTGTCTACAGATTCCTTCCTGTTCAGTCCAAAAACAAGAATGTGCAATACATTGTGAAATTTCTCAAGCGAGCTAGCTTTTGAATCCTGCAGGCCTTTCCATCAGGCCTTGTAGGGAAGGAGCATGAAAATCCCCAAAATAATCTTGGGCAGATGCTAAGGTAGAAGCTCTCTTGAGGAGCAAATTTTATCACCTTTCTCAATGTGCATATAGAAAGGGCTGCCAAACACTTCCTGTTCTGATATGGTGAAAGAATGACATAAGTGGAGCCCATTTCAGCATAGCCTCACTCCCAGGACTGTTATGTGTGACCCTTATTGGAGAAGTGCAGGAAGAAGAGACAGGTACCAATGAAAGAAGACTTTATACAAATCTAAGTTACTTTATACACTGTTACTCTTATTTTATGATAGCTAATGATCACCAGGGCAACTGCATTTCTTACCATCATCACAAGTGAAATCCTGAATGGCAACATCCTGTATTGGAATTTCTTTTAAGAAGTAGGGTTTCTGGCAGCGAGGGTTCCCTGTGACAATGCGCTTCTTTCTCAGCCACTCTCCCAGCCATGCTAAGTGGCAGTTGCAGTTGAAAGGATTGGCTAAGAGGTTTCTGACAAGCACATGTGAATAAAATATAGTTCAACTTCAGGTAAAGGAAGCATACAAGAAATACATTGAGAAAGATTAAAATACCTTTTCTGTATTGCCCCAACCCCCTGCCCCCCAAAAAAGAAAGAAAAAGAAAAGAGAGGTTCTTCTCAGCCTTTCACTGCTGCTGTCATTGTGTTTTTCCACAACCCAAATACAGATGAAATTCCTCCCTCAAGAACAAACAGACAAGTAAAATAACGCCTTCCTATTCCAACTAAAGTTTGGGAAATGCATTTTCAGAGTTTGAGTTGAAAAATCCTGAGACATCTTGTTTAGAAATAATGCAAAAGTGTCACAGATCTGATCTGCTGTCAAAATGTCCACACATAATACTGTAATTTAATGTTAAAATGTTGGTTACTTTATATTATTAGCTATAACTTGAGAACAGTACTTTCATTAATTTGCCTCCTCAAGATTTCCATCTTTTATTTGCTCCAGAGAATTGACTTCTTGTGTAAACCGACAGCTAAATTGATTACATGCCAGTTATAAAAATGAATTTAGTTTCAGAAGTCTCAGTGCTTTTGGCATCTCTACATTTCAGCAAATACCTTTTGATAATTTCCTTATTTATAAACATGTGGTCTTAAATATGCACAAATGGGTCATTAGGTGTAAACTGTCTGATTCTAAATGAAAAGAGAATTAAGTACACTGGCAATTATTGTTCCTCTCAAAAATTCATACCACAGATATCCAAACTATTAGAGAAACCAGATTTTTACCACATTCCCTCCCTCCCATCTTCAAATCATATTTTTTTACATTAAAAATTGAAATGTAGCCACTTAGACTGCAATCCTATGTGCACTTAAATGAGAGTAAGTAACATTGAAGACAATGAGTTTTTTCCTAAATAATTTACTTCAATGCCTACCTTCATCTTTTAGGGCCCCTGTCAGAGACGTAAAAGCTGGAAGAAAAAAGTTCCCACTCCCAATTTCCCCCAGAAAATTAAAGAAAAATTTGGGAAATACTAGAAATAGTACTTCTTTTCACATCAAACCAAAACTTCATTTATCACTTCAGCAACATGATAATTTACTTACACCTTAAGCTGTGACAAGGTGGGCATTTGTCCTATGGTTTGGTCTAGATTGGTGATGGGCTTGTTCACTCCTTTTCCTGGCAATCACACAGTGTATGTATTATTGTGAACCAGCCTGCCCCTGATCAATGCCTAGCTGCACTTTCTGTGGTCCCAGTCCCAACGGTTACTCTGTTTTTTGTTGTAAATAAGATCACACTGTTTTGGTTCATTTCTTGCATGTGTGATCACTGGGATCAAACAAAAGAAGATGGCTCAAGCTATCAAAAGCACTTAAAGATCTTAAGAAATAGAAACCCCTTCCCGCTCTTTCAATGCATCACAGATGTGTTGTATCAGCAGCAATTTTTTTTAGAAATAGAAAGATTTCTTTCCTTTCCCCCCATGGAAGAGCATGAAATCTGTGGAAGGTTGGCTAGCTTGTCCTGAGTTTAAGGGAGAACTCTGAGGGGACAAAGCGGAGCCAGGGCAGAGAAGCTGAGGGGACTCAAGTCAGCTAAACCTGGGATAGGGGAAGCTGATAATTCAAGTTGTTTTGTTGCCTGAGGCAGAGAAAGAAGCTCTGTCTGTGGTGAAAGGCCTAGCTGGAGGCAGAGGCCTAGACACTGTAGCTAGCTTACCAGTCGATGAGTGCTGGAAGCTAAGTTGTAACACAGACTCTGACTAACAGAAAAAAAGTATACTTTGAAACTGAGGGTTGAAAGTTGAATCATAAGCCTGAGGAAAGAAAACACGCCTTCAACCAGGGGAAAGAAAGCTGAGCAAGTGCCTTGTGAAATGGCAGTTGGGTCAGAGATAGAAAATGGGGATTCTGAGGGAGAATTGACCTCAGATCAAAAAAGGGAGACTTCTAGGGGGGATGACCCAATAGATTTCAGGAAGTGGAAATTGGAGCTAAAAATGAAGGCCAAAGCTGAGGAAAAAGCCTTAGAAATGGAGAAAGAAAAATTGGCCTTAGAGATGGAGAGGGAAAAAAAGGCCTTAGAGATGGAGAGGGAGAAGGCTGCCTTAGAGAAGGAGAGAATGGCATTTGAATTTAGGAGGCTAGAACTGGAAGCTCAGGCCAATAATAACAATAACAATAATGGCAGGGATAACTCTTGAGGGGAGACAGTTGTCAAAGGCAGACCTGAAAAGATTCCCAGTCTTTAGAAAAGGAGATGATCCTGAATCATTTCTGGTGATGTTTAAGAGAGCATGTGAAGATTTTGCGGTGAGGGAATCTGAAAGAATGATAGTGTT